TCGAAAAAGAAGTTAGTGGTAGAGTGCATGAAAGAAATAGAGAGAGGGGAAAAAAGTAGGTGAGAGAAATGGAGAAAAGAAGTGATGCAAGACGTGGGTATTAGCAAGGAGGAGTTAAAAGAAAAGAGAGAGAGAGAGGAGATGAAGGAGATATGCAAGAAATAGTAGAGAGAATATAGTAGAGAGAATAAAACAGAAAGATAAGGAGGAAAGAAGGAAAGAGATAGAGGAATCGAGGTACAACGTCAGCTACAGAAACGCAATAACCAAGGTTGGGTAGTGTCTAGTTAAAAAGATAAAAGTTAAGTTAAAAAGTTAAAAAGTTAAATATATTTAACTTTATCTAGTTACATTTTTAGACTCTTATCTTTTAACTTTATTTAGTTATATTTTATCGGTAACTAGTAACTTTTTATTTCAACTTTCTTGAATCTACTATAGCCATAAGATTTTTTATTTGTTTGCATACAAAACGGAACATATTTCTCTCGTCGTATGATCATAATTAATTTTACATGTTTATAGGCCGAAAAATTCGACCAATCACAAAGCTCAGAATGATTCGTTTTATATGCGAATAAATTCGTACGTGTTCGAGAATTGAGCCAATAAACGCTGGTCGTAAAATCCAACGCAATTCACGTAATCCTCAGTGTTTACGATTATAAGACGTTTATAAGATGCGTTCCGTTTCATATACGCGCATTTGTCCATAGTAAACATTATGTATAGTATATAGATCATGTGCGCATATGCAAAAAAACGGAATGTTCATAGCATGCTGCAGCAAAAAAGGGGATACGCACAACAGCTGACAACAGCAGGGGTATGTTCCAAAATCCTACTTTGGTTACCAAAAACTATAGTACACGTGACGTGAAATATAGCATTTTTTCCATTATATGTAAGATTAAAACACTGTAAATGTTTGTAATTATTTGTAAGACCAGAGAGAAACCTGAGAGCGGCCATCCTAATGTAATTTTTTACGACGGTTTCAGCCGCTGGTTTTAGCCGTATTTCCACAAAAGTGGAACTCAAAGGCCGTTCTACATTAAACGCAAGTGGCAGATCTCGTGGAATTGACCAATTGCAGAGTCAAATTAGCCAATCGACCACCGTGATTGATCAGTTCCACGAGATCTGCGACTTGCGTTTAATGTAAAACGGCCTTTGAATTCCACTTTTGTGGAAATACGGCTAAAATCAGCGGCTGAAACCGTCGTAAAAAATTACAATAGGATGGCCGCTCTCAGGTTTCTCTCTGGTAAGAATAAAACACTAAAATCATGAAAAAAAATTTAACTTTTAACTTGTTAATTTTTTTTTTTATTAACCTAACTTTTAATCAAGTAATTTCATTATGGATTACCTTATGTCTTAACTAAATAAATTTTTTAAGACCTTTAACTGTAACTTAACTTAAATAAAAAAAAATTTAACTTACCCAACCTTGGCAATAACAGAAGAAGTACCGGCATACTTAAGAGAAAAGAAAAGTAAGAAAGAAAGGACAAAGATAGCAAAATACAGATGCGGAAACGAAATGAAGAGGAATCAACAGTGGCTAACAGAGGAGAAAAGGATGTGCAGAATATGCGGAGTCAAAATAGAGAATATAACACATGTATTGAAAAACTGCGACAAAACGAAAAACGAAATATCAGAAAAAGAGTTCTTAAGAGAAACTGGGAAAAGCTGTGAAGTAACGAGGAGAATTGATGAAATAAAGAAAGAAAAAGGAATTGAAGATAAGAAAGAGATAGAAGGGGAAGAAAGAAGAACAAAGAAAGAAGAATACCAAAAAAACAGCGATAAATAGAGGATAACCAGAGTGATATTAAATGCAAGGACAGTACAAACTGTGAGTGACAAGAAAGAGGAAAAGCAATATTAGAAGAATAAGAACAGTGATTTCATAACATACATATATAGTAGTTAGTTAGTAGTATTAGCGGTATTATTTAAAATATGATAAAAGATGCTAAAAGATGTCACAAGACGTTAAAATATCCAAAATGTTAAAAGGTTAAAATGTTACTATGTTAATATGTTAAAATGAAAATGAAAGTTATTTCGGGTCAAATGTAAAACTGTAAAAATGTAAAAATGTAAAATGTAAAATGTAAAATGTAAAATGTAAAATGTAAAATGTAAAATGTAAAGTAACCGGAAGCCATCCAAAGCAGAAAGGCAAGGATTAAACTTAATAAATAAATAAAATAAATAATTATTGAAATATATAAAAAGATACTTCAAAAAAAAACTTACAATCTTTTCTGTCGAAATATCAACATGAGAAAGTCGATTAAATACGCAGGAATGATGTGAAAGAAAAAGACAAATAAGTTGTGCACATATTTGTTGGTACGTATAGCACCATCCGGATACCAAACTTGTCCTTCAAAAGGATAATCATAAATGATTTTCCTGCCTTTCTCTAACATTTCACCCCATGTAATGGGCCTTACATTTCCCTGCGTTATGTTGTACACAGGTATACTTTTTGATCTGTTCACATCAATACTTATACTTTATTTGTTGTTTAGATGCAATATAAAAAAAAGCATTTAATGAAACAAAATAAAAGTATGTACTTTATTTTGCTGGTACCAATCATGTATGAGAAGACAATTAACCAATTAATTGCAATGTCGACTGGAATAATTTCGGCATAGTAAGTTGGTGTGCAATGTATCGATCTAATAACACCTTTGCCTACGCCGACAATTATGCCTCCAATTCCATTTAAAGTATCAACCCATCCTGGCACTGGCTCCAATAAAATAGGACATACTGCGCAACATAACAATTTTTAAATTTGATTGCTCAGAGTTTCTTGCAAAATATTAGTTCTTATTAAACATTGCGATAATTACCGATGGAAGGTCTAGCAATAATACACGGAAGATTAGGGTATTCATTGGCCACCAATGTTTCCGTAAGTTGTTTTGAATACGTGTAACAATTTGGATGCGAACCTAATAATCTGTAAATACAAATGTATATAAAAAATAAATATTTTTTAAAAATATATAATAAGAAAATACTACTACAATAGAAAAGTATTCTAGTATAGTTTTTACATATCATTTTTAATGTTATAAAAAGTTAATTACTTAGGTGTAATAAAATCGATAGCTTCTTCGTCCAGCCATTCAACGAGTCTCATGATATCATGAGGATCATGAGGAGAATCGTAGATATGTTCGCCAAGTTCGTCTTGATCGACATGACAATAAGCCGTACTTAAATGTACGAAAACTTGCAAGTGTTTCATTTGTTTTGCCAACTTTAATACTGTGTGTGTAGACATCTTTTAAAATTAAATTAAACATGTCGTATATACTCAGATTGTTACAAAAAATATAAAACTTTTGCAGTTTAAAGTTGTATATTAATTATATCAAGTATTTATTTGTATAATTAGTTCTTGGACACACACATTTAATTATTTTAATATTTGTTATAGGGAAATTAAAAGTACAGAAAATAATAAACAAAACTTAAAAAAATAATATTAATACACCTTGCTGCTACGGTGAATACTGATATTTATGATAGTTATAATAATCTACCGTGTTCATTTTGATAGAGTCTTTCATTTTCGCCTCCATTCTAAGACTCGCGGCTAAATGAAATACTACATTTACTTCCTGTATCAAACACTCGCGCTGTACGGTAGTAAGACCTAAATTATCTGATAATATATCGCCATTTAGTGGTATTACTTTCTTAAAAATTTGTGGTTTCTGTTCGTGTAGTCTTCGAAATAACTGTAAAAATATTAGTTAAATAAAAAACCGTGCAATTAATAAGTTTATATAAATAATTTTGAAGTTCTTGTAAAAAATATGTGTACAAAAAAACAAGATTAATTTAAAAATAGCAAAAAAGCCATTTTTGAATATTTGATACGTATAATTGCGAAACATTTATACGAGACAGTTATTTATCTATTTGGTTTTAATTTATTTTTTCGCAAAATTTGTAGTTTAAATATATCTACTTCATACATAAAAACAATGTCTTACTGGTATGTTGAACATATCCTTAAATCGATTTTCCCAACTGCGGCCTTTCTTATCTCGCATGAGGATATAGATTTTACTGAGATCAGAGCAGCTGTACAGTAATTTTTCCATGAGAACTTTGCCCATAAAACCGGAAGCGCCGGTAATAAAAATGATTTTATCCTTGTAGAAGGACTGAATTTCAGATCTCGATTCGTCCATAATCTTGAATTGTCACAAGAGTTTTCTGTGCATGTTATGTGTACAGAGTGTTCCGTAAGTGCCGTACAATTTCTTGTTGGAAATTAGAGTGGGTTATATTGAATGAAAAAGTTCGTAATCATTTTTCGAGATTTGCAATAATTATTGAGATCTCAATTAATAAAGATTTACGAGTGAGCATGCATCGGGCTGTCTTACGGCGCGACATTCCGGCGCCAGTGTTCTCAGTTTTGACTTTTTTGCAGCATGCTGAAGCGGTGAACAGGATGCGCACTACAGCAGTAAGTTTATGCAGGTAAAACTCGCTGCTGTTGTGCGCATTTTTTCCACCACTTCAGCATGCTGTAAAGGGCCGTCTACAAAGGAAGTAGGCAGTATAGAGTAAGAAGTAAGGTTCTTGGAGTTATATCAGTTTTGTCTATACAAGTAATTGTTTTGCGGTTTATAACACTCGTCTTTCATTAGCTAACAGTAAGGCAATAGGCAATGCGAAATAAAATCTACTCATTCCGTTATTCTCGTTGTTACTTCACCGTAAAATAGTTTACTCTCTACTCTTACTGTTTTAGTATCTTCATTGTAGACTGGCTCTTATGATGCACATTTATTTGCAAATCTTTATTAATTAAGATTTCGGTAATTATTACGAATCTTGGCAAAGAACTGTTTGACTCAATATAATCTTCTCTATCTGCTCACAAGAGATTGAACGGCAATTACGGAACATCTTGAATATTGTGGTCTGATTTTTCGATAATTTAGAGATTATTGACTAACAAGATCAGAATCACGTGCTATTCTGCGTTAAAAAAAGTAACCAAAGATTAAAAAGAAAATACACTATACATTTCTGCAGAATCCTTCTTCCAAAAGCTACCAAGTTTTAAAAACATTCTTTTTTTTCACCAATTTAATTTTTTAATTCGTTCTTTTTAAATTTTATTTTGTCTCTTATAATTTATGTTTTTAAAATATATAATGTCATGAAAATTATAAAACATTAAATTAAAAAATTATTTTCTACTTACAGTCTTTCTATTGTAACACTTATTTCTGCAAACAACTTAAATAAAATAACAAACAAGTAGATTACCAAAAGAATTGTGTTGTAATTGTAATCGTACGTTTATTGTCGAGTTTGGCAGATACTAGCAAACTGAGTGAAGTATTCTTTCTACTGGTGTATTTATACGATTTTGTTCTATATTGCACGTAATTGTTCAATAATTACATAGTCTTTCGTGGAAAAAATTATCAATTTAAAAATCTTGATTTAGTTTTTTATTGTACATTTACATCGTACGATATACGTAAGAAAATCATTTACATAATAGGTATAATTTTATGCATATATAATCATATCGAAACATGATGCGATGCAATTATAACAATGAATTATTTATTCTTGCACTTTCAATATAGTTTATGATATATTATAAAATAAAATTGGATACATGGTATTAAAAACACCTTGAAACTTTATTGAAGTAAGTAAATTGAGTGTGGAGTTTTATGCGTTAAAACCTCGAGTTTTTTATAGATTAGAAAAAATTTTCTCATGATTGAGCAGCATTGATATCATCGTAAATGGAAGAATTACGCATACAAGCACAGATCCGTCTGTGTTGCGACGTCACGCTCGGCTGTGACGCTAGTATGTAATTATAAGTACAAAAACATTATTTCTATTTTTTCTTTCTACCAAGCCAAAGTCCAAGCAAGATTGCGTTTATGTTGTTTGTAAATACTTAAAATGTGTGTGAGTTAATTTCCCTAAAAATAAAGTGTTATATAATATATTATAAAGAACGTTTAATACGTATATTTTTGTATAGTTCAAGTATATGAGTTTATTTTAAGTTTTACGTATTATAGAAAAATATAAATATCTACTGGATAACTACTGGATGTGTTTGGAGAATATCTATCTTGTCTGTTATTTATATTGAATATTGATTTTTTGCAGGACATCTTATGTTACATATGTTCTCTGGAAATTGGTAACATAGTTACAAAAGATACTATTATTTTTTTCATAACTAAACTTTTCTTATATACATTCAAAATACATCTAAAAGACAATAGAATGTCCTCTGAATCTTCTCTGAATGTTTTTTTAAAATGCCGCACGGCATTTTATATTTTAAATACATACCAGATACATAAAATATAAAATGTTACTATACAGCAAACATGAAATAATACGTATAAATCATATACCTGATATATGTTTAAAAGAGTACTGGACACTAACTATAGAAATCTGTAAATCGACGTTTTAGAAACCTAAATTTCTCTCATTTCTAATTTTGTGTACTGCATTACATGAACAATGCTTCTACAGAAGCAAATAAATATTAAAAACTACACAATGCTCTTGAAAATGAGTACCTAGTCAACACAAACATCACAAAGATTACTAAAAGAAGTCTTTTTTAAGATTTCTTTCAGACCTTTAAATATGATCTCTTGATGATATTCGATATAAGAACTCTACGATGAAAGCTCTTAAAGATGTCTTAAATAAGAAGTCAATTTTTTGATATCTGAAAGAATCCTCTTTCTGTTTTCTTACAGGCTTCTTAATTAAGACCACTTAAGAGGATGCTGGACCGTCCTGTTTTACTTTCATGTCGTAGTTCAAAAGTTTTGTAAACACTACTTAGTAAACAATTTGTTCGCAATTTGCCAGCAATCTGGCAGCAATGTTTAGGAAAAATATTCAGCAAATTGGCATCAACTGAGTCCGCATTAGGCTTCGATTTTTGCCAAAGCTTGTCAACAAATAGTAACAGCAAATTGCTACCAAAACCCGGGCAAAGCTTGGTAACATAACTTGAGATCAAATTGACGCCAAATATGAAGCAAGATTTGCGCAACACGATTTGATAGCAAACTGACATTTATAATATAATAAAATAATATAATATAATAAAAAATGCTTTAGATTCTTCATTTATGTTCTCGAATAAGTTTTCTTGGTTATTCTCTATGTCTTAGTATTACCTTGAAGAAAAAATCCATTGTGTTAGAAATTACCTCGACTGTGAATTCGAACCTGAAACCTGGGAACCTTCTGATTACCAAGCGGGCACTCTATCAACTTAGCCATTGAAACTTTCGCAATCAATTACTTTAAAACTAATATGTTAATGGCATTCAGTGATATTGTTATTAATTCTAAATAAAACTATTTGTTCCTAAGTAAATCAGCGAATTTTTAACTGTTTCCTAGGAAAACTAATTTGTTACTGACACCTAACTTTAAGAGAGTCATTTTTTCACTGCAAATCAGTGATATTATCACTAAATCAATTAGTGAAATTTTAAGTAATTCTATTAGAAGAATGAAGTTTGGAGTTAATACTTAATCGCTTTTCATATCTGTTTAGGAAAATTCAATTATGTATTTATAAACGATAAATATTGCGTACATGCATAATCTAAGTCATATATATTTGATGATATAGAAATATTTTTAAATTATTTAAAATTAAATCTTAAACAGACAATGAATTGTTGTAAAAAGTATAAATATTAAATAATTTCACATAGATGTCATTTTACTATTTATATAATTATTGTCAATGTAATATTCAAATGTAAACATATTTTTATATATATTATGTGTATAAAGATTATATGTATATATATACAGGGTGTCTGATAATGACTGTATAACCGCTCGTAGGCAGGTAGAAGGGATTATTCTGAGTCAAAAAGTCCTGAACCATTTTTTTCTATTACATATGATAAAGGAGTAATTATTGAATAAAGTAAGCCAATCAGCGCCGACCTTTAGCCGAACGTACTTCAGTGAGCCGCGCAAAGCGCTCACGTACATCAGGCGCGTCTGCGTCTAGCTTGGCGCCCTACGATTGCAATATTCTTGTGCCTGCACTTGCGATCTCTCAGCTTGAAGCAATTATTACAATTTACCATTTCTGATTTTAAAATTTATTATTGTATAAATATATTGAAAAGGACCGGAACTACGGTCGGAACGTTTGTAACATTTTAATAATAAATTCATAACTTTCTGACACATTAAAAACCGTATTTAAACTCCAATCGGCCTATATTTTTTACCTTAGAAGTAATTTAATAATAAATTAATCTATAACCTTACAATATTCCAAAAATATTCTTGATATATCACCGCAACATTACTGTGATATATTATCGTAATATTACTGAGATGCGATTCGGCGGACATTTTAATATTACTGTGATATTACAATAATATTACTATGGAGGAGGAAAGGATGTGTAAAATATGCGGAGTCGAAATAGAGGACCTAACACATGTACTGAAGAAGTGCGAAAAAACGAAAGAAGAAATATCAGAAGAAGAGTTTCTAAGCGAAGATGGGAAAGGCTGTGAAGTAATGAGGAGAATAGATGAAATAAGGAAAGAAAAAGAAAAAGAAAAAGAAAAAGAAATGGAAGATAAGAAAGAGAAAGAAGGGGAGGAAAGAAGAGAAAAGAAAAAGAATGAAAAGGACCAAAGAAGCAGAGATATACAGGGGTTAAAAACAGAGTGATATTAAGAGCAAGGACAGTATGAACTGCGGGTGATGAGAAAGGGGAAAAGCAATACTAGAATTAGGAATAAGAACAGTGATAATTAACAGTATTATGTGAAATTAGAAATTAATTATTAATTATTAATTAATTAATTAATTATTACTACACTATATTACTATACTAAGGAGTTATATATTATAATAAATTAAATTATCTGTATCACAGGTGATATATGCGTTAAAACGTTAAAATGTTAGTACGTTAAAGTGAAAACGAAAATGAAAGTTATTAAGATATATAGAGATAAAAATGTAACTAGAGATAAAATGTAAGAAGTGAAATGTAAAGTGTAAAGCAACCGGAAGCCATTCAAAGCCGAAAGGCATGGATTAAGTTTAATAAATAATAAAAATAATAATATTACTATGATATTTCTACTATAGAATGTAATATTGCAATCGAAAAACAATATTACTGTGATATTGCAGTAATATTACGTGCTATGTGAATAAGTAAATATAATATAATTGGACATTTGCTTTACATAACTTTTTTTTGAATCGTAAATAACAACACTTTATAATTTATTGAATATGTCAAAATTTGTGCCGACCAAAGTGTTTTTGCGGGGAAGCGTTTTTTGACGTGTAAACTGCTGCTTCAACGGGAGAAAAGAAAAGGTTTTTTGCATCAAATTGTCACCGGTGATAAAAAATAGATCCATTACGACAATCCGAAGCGCAGAAAATCATGGGTTAAGCCCGGCCAACCATCAACATCAGTGGCACAGCCGAATATCCATGGGTCTAAGCTCCTGCTCTGTATTTGGTGGGATCAGAGAGGTGTGATTTATTATGAACTGCTGAAACCGAATAAAACCATAACTAGGGATCGCTACCGACTACAATTGATGCGCTTGAGCCGTGCATTGAAAGAAAAACGGCCGGAATACTCCAAAAGACACGACAAAGTCATTTGGCTGCACGACGATGCTCGACCGCACGTCGCAAGACCGGTACAAACCTACCTAAAAACACTTAAATAGAAAGTCCTACCCCATTCGCCGTATTCTTCAGATGTTGCTCCTTCTGATTACCATTTGTTTCGTTCGATGGCTCATAGCCTATCTGAGCAGAAGTTCACTTCTTACGAAGATTGTCAAAAATAGGTTGATTCGTGGATTCCCAGACGGCACAATGATGTATTTAAGATGTCTTGAAGATATTTCACAGAGACTTTGAATGTGCAAAAGATATCTCGTCGAGACATTTTCGAACGAGTAATGATGTTCAAATAATATCTCAGGGATATGCCTGAGACTGCTAATGTCTACATCAAAAACATGCAAATGATATCTCTTGCAAAAGTTTTAAAAATGAGGGGAAGTTCGAGATTTCACTCGAATTAGTTTTTGAAAGCCTGATACCGCTCGCCGATCAACCGATGAACTCCATTAAAAGGGACCGGACCTGAAAAATCCTAAGGTGATTAGTGAGATTTGAACTCGATATATCTCCGCAAGCCCATATCCGCAGCCCCTGCACTCAGTCCGCGAGACCACTTGCTTCTTACTAAATTATAATTGTTTTTATCTACTTATTCTTAAGCTATTTTACACATTTTGTTTATTATTTATTTTAATTATTATTTAATAAAAATATTGCAGTGCAATGTGTAAATTGCAACTTGAGAATTGATTTTCATATCTCGCGCAAAATATATTGTGCGAAGATTTGTGATATCATCAATAAATTATGTAAAGATGATTGTATGTAGTTTCAAGAATTTTCAAAGAACAAATGAATATTGGCTATTGAATCAATAACACTGTTGTTGGAGTGTATATATTTAAATCCGGTTTTTAACAATTAAGTAGCATAAACGCTTTCGACCTTGTATTAGGTCCTTTTCAAATACATTTAAATTTCTTAGATAAAATACGTCGCTCAATGCTGATCGAGAATATCCGCATAGGCCATCCCGACCAACA